GTGATTGTTTAACTGGCTCAAGGGTAAGTGATATCTGTGAAAAGCTATAACCTCACAATACAGTGAGGGAAAATAATCTTCTTGTTACAAAAGAAGTCTTATATACCAGGAGGACTGAATGACCACAGCAGCACATATTAAAATGTCCTCAGTGGGTAAGACATCTGAGTAGAAAAAAATCCTTGCCCAAAGACTACTTTTCCAGTGCAGAATACATCAGATTCATGGCTGGATATAGATATAAGGGACTAGAGGTAAGGCCAACAGAGTGTTTGTTGAGTTAGTTCTCCTTTTTTCTATCTGAGGCATTTTTTTTGAAACAGTCTCATTATGTTGCCCTCAGTAGAGTGCAATGGCATCACAGCTCACAGCAACCTCAAACTCTTGGGCTTAACTGATTCTCTTGCCTCAGCCTCCCAAGTAGCAGGTGCCCACCACAATGCCTGGCTATTTTTTTTGTTGCAGTTGTCAGTGTTTAGCTGGCCTGGGCTGGCTTCAAACTGGCCAGCCTCAGTGCATATGGCTGGCATTGTAACTGTGTGTGCTGCAGCACCGAGCCTACATCTTATGTTTTTAAGCCCCTGAATCACCTTGCATAGCCCTTCCATGTTTCATAACTCAGACAGAAACTTTTTCATATGCTCAGCAGCCTGGGGAGTTTCTCCTATCCTTAGAAATGTCCCCATCGGGTGGTGCCTGTGGTTCAGTAAATAGGGTGCTTGACCCCAGACACCAAGGGTGGTGGGTTTAAACCTGGCCCCGGCCAAACTGCAACAAAATATAGCCAGGTGTTGTGGCGGGCACCTATAGTCCCAGCTACTCGGAGGCTAAGGCAAGAGAATCACCTAAGCCCAGGAGCTGGAGGTTGCTATGAGCTCTGATGCTACGGCACTCTACTGACAGCGACAAAGTGAGACTCTATCTAAGAAAAAAAGAAATGTCCCCATCTGCAGAAAAATGTAGAATTTATTGAGAGAGTTATTGCTTAAATGGATTTTTTTCCAAGTCTCTTTTAGTATGTGTTGAATTAACTTGAAGTAAATTAAACCAGTAGTTTGCCCTGAAACTTAGCAAACTATTTTTCTTTATTTCTTTTAGGGTTCTGATGGCTTCTAGTCACACTGTGCTCATGCGGTTGGTAGCCTCAGCATATTCTATTGCTCAAAAGGCAGGAATGATAGTCAGACGGGTCATTGCTGAAGGAGATCTGGATATTGTGGAGAAGGTACTGAAACTCTCATCTCATTTCATACCTCCTTTTTTTTTCTGTTGCCCTGGGTAGAGGGTCATGGCATCATAGCTCACAGCAACCTCATGCTCTTGGGCTCAAGAGATCCATTTACAGCTCAGCGCCTGTGGCTTAAGTGGCTAAGGCACCAGCCACATACACCTAAGGTGGCGGGTTCGAATCCAGCCTGGGCCCGCCAAACAACAAT